GTGCGTATGTATAAACATTTTTGCACGTTTGTGTGTGTATGTGGGCGCACCGCTGCCCTTCTGGCTTCTGCAGGTAGAGCTCAGAGATGCTATTAAACACCCCAGAGTGCACAGACAGAACAGCTGCAGGACCCTCACAGTCCCACACCTGCTTCATGCCACGTGTGGCAACTGAGTGAGCTAGTCCTGGCAGACCTCTGCTCACAGGACTTAGAAAGGACTCTTTGATAGTCATCTCAGCAATGTACTCACGGTACGGACATACTCCCACTGTCCCAGAAATGTTCACAATAAGCGCCCCGAGAGTTCACCGGCAGGACAAGCCAGCCTCTCTGTGCTCCGGGTTTGCCAAGAATACAGTCTCATAGACTACAGCCCTGCTAGTGGCTGGCATCCTGTGAAAAATCAAAAGCCATTTCACAGCAGATACCTGCTTCACATTCGGCACATTAATATCAGCAAACCAAAGATGTGTCCAGGACGTTTAGAAGGAAAGAAAATTGTCTATGAAGCTAAGATAAATGACAGCACAGAGCTTTAGGATAAATTACTTCTCTTTCTATTTTCAAGATAAATTGCTTCTGTGTCTCTTTTCAATTCTGGGGGACTCTTAACTTGAAAGGTTAAAAAACAAGAAGCTGGGTAACAAATTCTTCTAATCAAATAAGCCAGCACTCACTTCTACCTAAAATGTGATAAGAACATGCGAGGCCGTTTGCAGAGGAAATTCTCAGAATTCACGGACGGTTTCATTCTCTGGCGCTCAGGAGGTCCCACTGGGCGCTGCCCACCTCCTGATGCCTTTAGTCTCCATTCTAAGTGGCAAGGCAAGGCCTGAATCACATCAGAGCCTCTTTGCGAAGGCACTGGTAACAACAGTCACAGGTCTGGATGAGCTGCGTGTGTGTGCACAGGCAGCAGACGTGGAAGCACTTTGGGACCAGGTGAGCCTGAGCTGAGTCTGCAGCCTGACTACTGCGGGGAGAAGCTCCTATGTGATTCCAGATCTGGCCATGCTTTGTGTCTTCCTGTGAGGGGTCTGTCCAGTGCGGTTGCCTTGTAGGAGTACTAGGAGAGGAGCAAGGATCTCTCCACGTCTTGCAAGATGACAGGTGTGGCAAGCGAGAAGCAACTAGGTCCAGGTACAGAAGCCTGAAGGCACAAGGCCGACAGCAGCAGTGAGGTGACAAAGGGAGATTTGAGCCTGGAAAGCAAGAAAGGGGAGGCTCTGCTGCCTGTGCAGCCCTGTGCTCCTGAGAAAGGAGAGTGGGCAGTCACCCCAAGTGTGCAGTGGACCCCAGTGAGGGAGAGTGGGCAGTTCCCCCTAGGTGTGCAGTGGACCCCAGCAAGGAAGGGTGGGCTGTCCCCCCACAGATGTGCAGTAGACTCCAGAGAGGGAGAGTGGGCAGTCCCTCTAGGTGTGCAGTGGACCCCAGTGAGGGAGGGTGGGAAATCCCCCCAGCTGTGCAGTGGACATGAACGGTCATATCTAAGGTGGAATCTTCAGCTGCTATACCCAGGACTGAGTAGAGAAAGGAGAAGGGTATTGTCTCACTGCTTTACTACCTGAGCCGTAAGTGGATGCCAGGTGTTGTCCCACTGGCCACTGCCTTTGAACTCTGAGCCATGGCAACTATCCCCGCTGTCATGAGGGAAAACAGCCAAGTTTTGTGTTTCATGCTCACTAGGCACCAAAAAGGTAGGCACACGGCTGAGTTACCACAGCTGCAGACTGGCCTGGGACCCTGTCACTCCATCAGGCTCCTCTCTCAGCAGGACACTGCTGAGGTCTGCTGTCCCCTCTGCTCCAGAGCGCCCAGTGCTCAGAGCTGCTTCCTTGGCTTCCACTCCTGAAGTCCTGGAGGGAGTGTTTTTGACTGGTGGCCCCCGGTGCTGTTGTATAGTCATTTCCTACCAGGGCACTGTGCTGTGTGTGTGTGTGTGTTTGTGTGTCTGGCATTTGCATCACGGAAAGTCACAGTTGTTGCAGGAAAACACTCCCAAGGGCTTTAATTAAAGCTGGGAGGACAAATCTGTTTACAGTGTGGCCAAAGCCATCATTAATAAGACATGTGAATAATGAGCACGTTAAATCCTGCTTTGTATGTGAAGGACTATGCTGTGATGTATGGGAAATGAGCGGCACACGAGGGCTGAGCAGCAGCAGTCACGGAGCACGCCTGCTTGGGACCTGAACACGTGCTGCGAGTGCAGGGGCAATAGAGGGAGACTTTTTGGTTTCGATGGCCTTAATGGCTTGGGCAATGAAGATGTGAGTGACAGGTAAGGCTTGTTAGGGTTGATTCTCTGAATCCTTGGTCATTTAGCCAGAAATACAGGCAGAACAAAAACCTAAACCAGTAACAAGAGAGTGCCTAGCTAACTCTGACCTGGATGGGATGTGGAGCAGCCTCAGCGGGAGCTGGCCACGGCAGCCTTCCGCTGGGGACTTCCCTGCTCACAGCCCAGCTCCACGGAGACCATGGGTCTCACAGGAAGCCACGGTGGATGTTCTCGTGGGCGGGGTAAGGATGCACGGTGTTCTGTGTCACTCAGCCGTTTCCTGGAAAAGACAATAGGCTCCAGGACTTTTGCTGTCTTGAAGGAAAGGCGGCTTCCGACACCAGCTTATTAACTTAGCACACACAGGGTGTTTGCCCTTGTTGCTACAGCAGTGTGCTTTGCGGGGGCAGAATAGGAACAAATGTCCCCGGCACACTCAGGTGCATGTAGGTTGTGGGATCCTCTCTTCCCGTAATTGGAGGTTGAACCTACTGCCCTCTGGGCTGGCTGGGCCATTCCTAAAGCATCTATCCCAGGAAGCATGCCAGTCCTTTCTAGAGGAGTTCCAGAGTGGAAACACACAGAATTACCCCAAAACGGGTGGTGGGAAGTTGGCAGCAGTACCTGCCGTTGTCTTTGGAAGGACTGAGGAGTAAAGCCCTGGCCTTACAGGTCTAGAAACCGCTTTGTTCAGTCAAGGAAAGCCGTGAAAGAGGCGGCTACGTCCTCAGATGGACTTGGCTTTGCATGTGCAGGTGCAAGTGACAAGGACAAGTTTACCTGCAGGGTAGGGGTAGGTGTGGAGTGGGACAGAACTCACTGCCCAGCCTAGCTGAAGCTATGACTTTGAGCTTGTGCCAGCTTCTGCAGCCACACATTAACAAAGGGGATATCTGTGCCATAGCAGGTGATGCCGAGGGTTAAATTGCCAGGAGGCCAAGCACGCAACACAGGCTGGGCCACACACGCGCCTCCCCTTGGTGGTCAGCAGTTCATGGATGACACCACACAACATCAATGTGTCAGCATCTGTCTCCAAGTGTTTGCAGCATGTGCTGGGTGCCATGTGCTTGCTGTCCTGTGGATGGAGCATGGCTGGGTGACATACTTGGGAGAGTCAGGGGTGCAGTGTGAGTCAAGAGAGCCCCAGGGGTGGGTGTGTTTCACTGTGCTTTTTCTGCCTATCCTGATGACAGTCACCATGTCACAAGATGGCATGGGTCCTGATCTGAGATGAGGAACCAACCTGCAGGTGGTTCAGCGGCTAATGACTGGGACAGGGTGGTGGTGGTAGTGCAAGGGGAGGAATGACACACAACCCCCAGTTCTGGAACCCAGGTGGCTCCTTGTTCCGCCCTGACCATGCCAGCTGAGAGACACAAAGGCTGGGGTGGCTGGAGAGGTTTTCCTTCTCCTGTGACAATCTCATACTGTGTCACACTCCAGGATGACATGCAGACAAGCACCTTGCGAGAGCCCACTTAGTCACTGTGAATCTTGTGTGCAGAATTGCTGCAACTGCAGCTTTGGAACCTGTGCGAGGCCATTGGCCTTGCATTACCACAGGTGGCCCAGCGTGACCCAGAGTGGAACACGCTGAGCTCTGCACAATGTGCGTCTTCCCGCAGGCACGCCTGTCAATCACCCCGACTCCTGGAGGCTCCGAGAGGATGTGGACAGCACACCACCAAGACTTATTTTGACACAGGCCAATTCATTTCCCTTCTGACTTAATCCATAGCTGGGTGCAGCCATCCTGAGGTAAGAGCCTCATCTTTTCTCATGGCGCATGCATTTCTCAGTGTTGTCTTTCGGGGGTTAACGTGGGTTCAGTCTCTGTAATAGGCCATTTCACTTTAAGTGTATGTTAAACTAATATTGACCTTTCCAAAGTAAAACAAAATCTGGTGTTTATGCTCCTAGGACTGAAGCAGAGAGGGCTGCGGAAAGCAGAGGATTAATCATCTTAGATTCTCCCTGCTCGGAAACACTACTCCTTGGGAATCTGTCATCTGCCTCCCTCCCAAAAGGAGACAATGGGACCCAGTGCTGGACAATCTGCCCCCATATGCCCCCTCAGGACAAGTGTGGAGGGTTAGCATGGGTATGTGGATATGGCATGAGCAGGATGCAAGGAGAAAGAAGGTGCCAGTCACAAGGGCACAGAGCCAGTGGCCCTGCACGGCACCCCATACACACATTGCAGACAGCCCTGTGAATAGAACAGACACACTCCCTTCCCTGTTCCACTCCTGTGCAAACAAGAAACTTGACAGCTGAAGTGAGGACTACGCACATCTACCAGGGGGTCCCTTACTCGGGAGACCAGATTGGTCAGAGCAGGCATCAACAGAAAAAATGCAGAGCTGGGAAGAAAAATCAGATCCTACTGCCAGGAACAATGCGTACGCCAATGCTCTGGTTCTGAGCAGGATGGGACTAACAGTCCTGTGTCCTCCATGATGTCAGCAGTGAGTGAACTGTGGGCACTGTTCAGGGATCTGCTTCTGCCCTAAAGGCCTTCCTCAACCCTGCATGTACAGGGCCTTGTTCTTACCTCTATCTGTGCCTGCATCCACACCCATGGCCACACCTCATCCACACATGTATGCTTGCTTGTCCACACCCACACCCATATCTTGTCCACACCTGTGGCCACACTTTATCCACATGTGTATGCTCACTTGTCCACACCTACACCCACACCTCGTAGGTACCTGTATCCACTCTCGGTAGGAGTCCTCCCCCGGCGTCCATCCATTCTCAGGGTAGTTCAGCCGGGAGCGCTCTGCGGACCAGTTGGTGCTGTACTGGGAGGAGGCAGTGATCTGGTCAGAATGGATCTCCCCTGATTCCATGCCCAGAGCTTCCATGCATTTGAAATCTGAAAGGAAACATGGCAGAATGAACGGTTACAATGGTTTTCCTTCTAAGCTGGTGGACTGTGGAGTTCATTCATGGAGTTGTACAAAGGCTATGCCAACCTTCACCCTGTGTCCATAAGTCACCATCACAGTAATGAACAGTTCTACTGAGCAGGGACAGGATGACCAAAAGGTCATTTAAAATTCATCAGGGGGTATTGCCAATTCAGTCTTATTTTCCATGTAACATATATGTGCTGCTCACATGTGGTACACTCTAAGAGCTACGGATAAACAAAATACATTGTAGGATCACTTCCTTCAATATCTAATGAAATCTGACAGTCTCTGTGTGCAGTGACAACTCATGTTCAAGGGACACTGGCTCTGCCATTCAGGTTCTCCTGGGGCACTGAGGTCACAGCTCCTGGTGCCTTCTGCTCTTACATACCTACCTTTCACCTGGTCATGATCATTAGCACACAACACACGTATGTGTTCTATGACACTCAAGCTCCCATGGTAGGGAAAGTGCAGAGCATGTGGCCCCAAAGAACACCACGCTTTCCTCAGTGTGAAATGAAGATGTGATCAGCAACTGTGTGTACCTGCTGTGTGCACCTGGCCAGAGTTCACACACTGGTCACCGAGGGACTTGGTGCTTAGCACACTATGAGCAGAGCTTGGGAGAGGTGAGCAGGATCATGGTCCCTCTGTTCTCTGTTTTAACAGAAGCACATGTACCATAAGCCTCTTCTTTCATCAGCTGTACCCTTTTAAGCTCAGGGCTGGTATTTGTAGAGGAAATTTATGTGCGCAAAATCCACACACAATTTAAGTAGGCATAGCACCTGGGGTCTCACTGGCTGGGCATTCCCAGTGAGATGTGGCAGAGGGCATGCCGGGCTGAGGTTGGATCTGACCTCCGCACCTCCTTCCCTGGGGCCTCTCTCTAAGCTACGTCATGCTCCAGCAGCTGGGAGAGACAGGCACAAATGATTTATTCTTTTCCATTATAGGTTTTTTTTCCTCCCCCTCAGGCCCTTCATAAGGGAGCTGGGAACGACAGATGCTTTGAGAAGGAGGTGAGTTTGCTAATGGAGGACACAAACGCCATCACTGTGGTTATGTGCCTCTTGGATGGGACAGTGAAGGCTGAATTTAAAACGTGATTCTTGCGTAAAGAATCCACTTATATTCACACAAGGGAGTAGAATGTCATGGCTTACCGCTGGAGTCTTCCTCAACCCAGACACCTGTCTGTGCTTCCCAGGAGTGGGGTTGCCCGAGTTGGATGGAGCCTGGCGTTCCATTTCCCATCCTGCCCTCCCAGACAATGAGGTTGGAGGCCCGCAGGCAGGCTCCTAGGCCAGTTTTAGGAAGAAAATGAATCTAATGGTTCCTCCCATCTATATATTTTTTAAAGAAGTTGAAAGAAGAAGACACATGAGGCTGTGGCTCAGGACGAGGTTGGAAGAGGGAGCCACAAGCCCCACTGGCCCACACACTGACCTTCCGAGATGCTGCCTTGTAGGATGCTATAGTTGGCCGAGAAGCCTTCTTTGGCTATGGCACTGTCAGTGTAGAACACCATGGACAGGATGCCCGAGGAAGCGCGGATCCGACCCGGCGTCTTCTGTCCACAGTAGCGCCCTATGTGAGGGCCAACTGGAGGGCAAGAGGGAATGTCAGAGAACGTTAGTGTGATTTCCAGAACAATGGCCACTAGAGAGATGCAGCCCACAGCCCCCCAGCCCGCAGGAAGTCTTTACCTGCTGGTAGATGCACACAGGACACCCTGGGTCAAGTCTGCAATGGGAGGCAGAGCCTGGGAGGACCATTTGGGGGAGGGAGGAACTATGGGAAAGTATCTTGGCCTCCTCCATCCAGGACCAAACTGCATGTGTGCCTAGCAGCAGCAAGAGGGAGGGGGGAAACACCCAGGATGCTGTGGTCATTAAGGCCTCATGCTTCTTAACCTGACACATGCTCCGAAGGGAATCCTGGGCAAGACTGAGCTTCTGAGCACCCAAGTGGTTACAGTAGGGGGATCCTGTTTCCCTTCTTACTCTGTTAAACATCACAGACCTGGGCACAGGATGCTGGGTCACACCCTGCTCAGATACTGAGCAACTGCATACTAACTCAGAATAATGGTCATGCTAAGATGCACGGACTGTGGTGCTGCCGTTGTCATTTATATCAATAAAACAGGCAGCACATCTGTCCAACTTCTCTCTGAAATCTGAGCGTGGTGACATTCCATGGCAAGCAGCAGCCAAGAGAGGATTGCAGGGTCAAGCGATACACCCGAGTCACTGAACAGTCTGGGGCAGGGACCCACCTGTGTTCAAGTCAGGTGGCTGTCCAGCTCCCAGTGGCTGCAGACACCCCCAAATGGGAACAAACAGCAGTCTATACTCCCTTCTCTTCCCTCTTTCCTTTTTTTTTCTCCCTTTCTCAGACTGATTTATTTGAAAGGCAGAATGACAGAGAAGGAGGGAGAGGCAGAGAGAAAGATCTTCCATCTGCTTGCTTACTCCCCCAGATGCTGCTAACGCTGGAGCTGGGTTCCCATGTGGGTGTGGCTGGGCCATCATCCTCTGCTGCTTTCCAAGGCAGATTAGCAGGAAGCTGGATCAGAAGGAGGGCAACAGTGACTCCAACCTGCACCCATATGGGATGCCAGGGTGACAGGTGACAGCTTTACCTGCTGGGAGAACTCCTCCACTCCCTGATCCAGATCAGCACCAAAAGGTCTTTTTCATGTCCTACTTGTGAACGAAACATGCCAGTTTGGGCTGAGCATGTTCTGGTGTAGATGGCCAATTTCAATTATGCATGACACCCTAGGGGGTCAAAGGGGATGGATCCATTCCTCGAGAGAGACCTCAGATAGGCATATGGGGCTCCCTGATCTGGGTGTGAGACTGGGCAATAGACTGCAGCTGCTGAGGGTGGGACATGCTTCCCATGGGGCTCCAACAGTGAGCCATGGAGCCCCCAGGGACCAGTCCAGCTCCCCTAAGCCCTGAGCACACAGAGCCGCCCATGGCTGCCAGGTTTCTAGCTCCTAGTCCACCTTCTCCACATAAGGATTTAAACAAAACCAAAGCCAAGCAGTTGCAAGACAGGGCTGCCTGAGTCTCTGAGAGACCCCTGGTGTGTTCAGAGTAATTGACACGATGGAGCTCAGAGCACTTTTTGTGGCAAGTCCCTACTTTGCAGAGGCCACACGTCTGGTGAGTGAAGGCTGCTGTCACAGAGAATGCAGGGGATGGCCTGGGAAGGAACAAGGGGGCAGACAGGGGCTATGGGCATGGGTGAGACCCAGGGCATTGTATGGCTGTGGGCAGGGGCCAGGGACTTGAGTCCCCTGGAGCACACTGGCTGCCAACTGTCCCTTGCAGCTTTAATCCTGGGCACAGTCTCTTCTGGCCAGCTGAGGTTTTCGTTTTGGATGTGGCCTTATCACTCATGCAGCACCCTTGTCTTCGCAAGGAGTACACCACCCACACATATGTATGGCTGGAGCCATCTCCTTGTCCCAGTCTGCAATTATGAATGAGGGACCCAGCACACACCCTCTCCCACCCCCATTCTCTCTGCCTCAGGCATTGAAATTCTACCCGTGTGGCTCTGTCATTTTCCCCTTAGTTTTTGGCAAATGCTTACCCAGCCCTAATCCCCTGGGCTGGTGTCTGTTGCCACAATCCCTATCCTGCCCCCAGAATGTAGGGGATGCCATGGCCACCCTGGGAAGTGCTGGTCCTCCCCCTCCGGCATCGCCTGGTTCCTCAGGGGAGGGTAGCTAGCCGGGAGGGGGCCTCTTTGAAAGAGGGAACAGAAGGGAACTTGTGTATCACAGACCGTAATTTAGAGTCTCCATGACTCACTGGTTTATAATGTGCAGGCCATGCTGGGCAAAGCTGCCTCTGTCCTCAGAACATTGCCGCCGGATAGCAGCACGCCGCTTGCGCTAGCAGCCCTCAAGACAGGAGAGTGAAAGGCTTTTTCGACTTTCATACAAAGAAGTATTGAGCTTTCCTGGACAACAGCGGGACCTCGGCTCAGCAACTAATGCGGTATTGATCCGGGCTGGGCCCGAGTGCCGGGGGTGCTTGCGTCTATCTCGTGCGTGTATGGATTTGTGCATTCACATGGACGAGACTTTTGGAGCTGCCATTTCTCTGTGTGTTTAAGTGCCAAAGGATAAGGGGAAGCAGCTACAGGGACAGCCGAGAAGTCCAGATCTGGGCATGGAGGACCCGAGCTATTGCTTGAGGCAGCTTACCGGGTGTGATAAGGAACAAGGGTGCTGGGCCACTCAGGAGCTACCCCTATGCCACTTCCTCCAACTCTCCTGGGGATCCCCAGCCCCAGAACTGTACAAGCAGGCTTCCTGTTACCTCTGAACACAAGCGAGAGCAATGATCTCCCATGGACAAGAACCGTAAGATGAGGGGTGTGCGTGTGAAAAGATAAAGCAAAATGGGAACAGTTACGCTTGCCTTAATGTAGTGAGCCTTGTGGTAGCAAATCGCTGGGAACTCAGAATCCATATTTGTGACAAACACCTCTCCCATTGCTTCTAGAATGTTCATTTACGTAGAAAGCTAAACAGCAGAGCTCAATCTAGTTTTTTTAGAAAATCATTCCTGAGATTGCTGATTTTGGGGATCAAATGTTGCTAACCCCTACCCCGTCAGGCTGAGTTGAATCTCTTCTCTTGCTTGTCCCAGAGCTGGGCTGTGGGCTCCATTGGTTAGCCCGGGCACCCACTGGGGAAGTGGGCAGCTGTGTTTGGCTCCTGGCCACAAACCACGGGCAAACCTCACCGTCTCTTTTCCAGCTGCAAGATTCGAGGCAAGAGAGAGAGAGAGAGATGTGCAAGCCACCAGGCGCTCACTCCAGTCTGGGAGTCAACTGCTTTTCTTCAAAGTCAATCTGAATCAATGGGCAGCTTTCAATTACTTGGGTGTGTAATTCAATGTTTATGATAAAATGCAACATAAAACTGCTGGGTGGTTAAAAGCCTTCAGTGCCTTCTGGTTGTTGATTTTGGAAAGGCGATCAAAGACTGTGAGTGATTTTGCTGGCGGGGAAGTTGGGGTGTGTGCTGAATCACAATGACAGGAGCGTGTCTACGACCAGACACAAACCCAGGGATATGCAGACATCCCACTGGGGAAAGTGGGCAGGGCAGGTGACACCAACAGATACCAAGGTGCTCTGCCCTGGGAGACCCTGGCGTTATCACAGGACCAGATGTAAGGCTGGAAACTCCTGGCGCTACGGCTCATTGCTTCAGCTCGGTGACGCCCGAACTGGAACCCCAGTTGCTGGTCACCACACGCTTCTCTGTGAAAGCATCCAAGTGGGTCAGCTGACTGCATCTCCTCCTCTGATGCCACTTGAAGGAAGGTTTTGGAAGGGAAGGCGGCAGCAGATGTGACGTGTAGACAAGGGAACTCTCTGTTAACTGGCCTGGCTATTGTGGCAGAATTATCATCAGTGCCATCTGCCAGATGTTTGAGCTGAGTGCTTGAAGATCCGTTCGTATTTGGTTTTGGGCAAAGCTCACCACCTACAGAGGGGTTCTCGTACCACCCTCTCCATCACCATCATCACCCTGAGTGTCTGGTGGAAACACAAAAGACATTGAGCTCCTGTGAGATCAGCACTTTCTGCCTGGGCCGCAGTGTCCATGGCTGAGGGACTGGGCACTGGCAATCTCACTGACCACTCAACCCCTCAGAGTGGCTCCATTTGGCGATTCCCCCCTCCCTCTAGGGAAGATCTTGACTGCTCTGTTTCTCAGGTGGTTTATGGCTCTGAGTACAGGGGCACTAAACAGTGCTGGGCCGTCTGCCCTGAGCTGTACAGCCCATGCTCTCTGGGGCAATCAGAACAAAGCAGCATGAACACAGGATGAGCACTGCAACCATGACAAAGCACCTATGTTGAGGTCCTGGCATGTCTCTGCCTGTTTCTAATCCAGAAGGTCTGGAGAACTGGGGTGACATCCTCTGTGTAGAAGTCCACAGCCCCACCTGCTTCGAATACTCACCAATCTGAGTACTCAGTCATTCAGAAGCTAGCTCCCTCCTCCTAATTCCTGCTCCACCCCTCCAGTGCGTCTCGTCTTCCTGTGTCCCACATATGTAGTACATTCATTTTGTAGCATGCTGTGTGTTACCCAGGGATGGGGGTCGCACAAATCACAGGGCAGGGCCACCTTTCAAGGTAGCTTCATGACCCTATGGCAGGGACAGTGGCCTGTATGTACTAGGTGCTCAGGAAACACCTTCACAATGTGGAAGTCCACGGGGGACAGGTGCAGCAATTCCTGTCCCCCATGGGACAGGAGTTAGTAATGATGCCTCCAGAGAATTCACATTGCCGGAGCGGGGGTGCAGAGTTGTGACATAGCAGGTTAAGCAGCCTCCTGTGACACTGACATCCCATGAAAGCCAGTTTGAGTCCCAGATGCTCTACTTCCAATCCAGTTCCTGGCTAATGCACCTGGAAAAGCAGCAAAAGGTGGCCCCTGAACCCCATGGGACACCTGGATGAAGGTTTTGGCTGTTAGTGTTGGCCTGGTCCAGCCCTGGCTGCCACAGTCATCTGGGAAGTGACTGAGCGGATGGATGGGAGATTCTCTCTGTAACTGTCTAACTTGAAAAAAACAAAAACCTGGGGGCTGGCACAGTGGTGTATCAGGCTAATCACCTGTCTGAGATGCTGGCATTTCATATGGACATCAGTTCAAGACTCAGCTACTCCGTTTCCAATCAAACTTCCCTGCTAATACCTTGGGAAAGCAGCAGAGGATGACCCAAATCCTCGGTTTTTGTACTCATGTTGAACACCTGAAAAAAGCTCCTGGCTCCTGGCTTCAGATTGCCCCAGTTCCAGCCATTGCAGCCATTAGGGCTGTGAACCAGCAGATGAAAGATTTCTGTCTCACCCTCCCTTTCTCTCCATAACTCTTTCAAGTAAAATAAATAAATCTTGTATTTAAAAAGTGCCAGTGGAGAAACAACATGGGAACAGAAGGGCTTTTTCTAAATTAAAAACAGCAAACATTCTCTTTCCTAATCTCTTAAGACATTTTTCTGTGACATCATAGATGTAACAGATGCAATTTAGCCCTTACAGTCCCATCAGGGCTCAGCCATTGGGAGCAGAGCATTGGACTTAAGTGACATCTTGAGTCTCCATTGCTTGATGGTCCATGACTGACTGGATGACCAGCAGGTTGGCAGTGAAAGAAGCTGAGCAATCTGGCAGGAAGGCTCTTGTGGGTTTAGTCCCATCACACAGACACCTGCGGATTCTTTCTATCCCAGCTCACTGGCCTGCAGAGCAGGGTATTGGGTAGCCTACCAGGTCTGCTCCAGCCCCAGGCCCATCATTGCTGTTCTGTGTGGATCTCCTTGTTTTTCTGAGCTGTGGTGTAAGTGATACATGCATCAGGACACTCCTAAAGATCCCATCACCCTCCCTCCCTCTGAGTCATACTCCCCACCACTAGCTCACCTTCAGGGAAGCCATCCCAGATCTCCAGCCGGTCATAGCGACAGAATGCGCCTCCCGGGGGGTTGGAGTCAGGCTCCAGGTCAAAGCTCTCAAACTCTAGAATGATCTCCGACATCCTTGGGGCAAAGATGATGTAGGTGCACTCAAGGCTGTTGGGGTACTTCACTGGGAATCCTGGGGACTTTATCACACCGCTGGGGCTCGTGTAGTTCTGGGAGCACTCAGGACCTGGGAATGGAAGAGAAAAGGGACAGTGTGAAAACTTGGCTGGGATCAGCTTCCCCAAGCCTGACTGGAGGCAAGGAAGGTGTTTATCTGAAAGGCACCGTCGCTGTAGCCATGATCCTGGGCAGGCAGTACTGGCTCTTTCAGTACCAGCAGCAGGTCTGAGACAGTTCAGATTTACTGCATTCACCTTAGTTTTCCACTTGTGCAGAAAGATTCTGAGAGCAGTGCTGTTGCAGAGAAAAACAGTCACGGGGTGGCAGGGCAAGGGAGCGCTGACTGTGAGGGTCTCCGAGAACCCCAGAGCCGTCAATATTGGTGAAAGAGCATCTATAGAGGCCAAGCAGAGAATCAGGGGCAGGTGCTGGGGTGCAGTTCAGGCCCCCACCATGGCTCAGTGACTGCCAGAGGTCACCTGTGCCTGATAAGTGAGATGTGAAACAGGCTGTGTTGACACAGGTGCATGATGAAGTGGCAGGGGCAAGGGCTCCAAACACATCAACAGGTGCCACCTGACATCGACATGAATGTGCTGACATCCCAAGTTCAGAGGCAGCACACCTGCCCTCCATGGTTGTGACCGAGGGTGTGTCAAAGCCACACTCACAGGGGTGATCTGATACAAGGACTGCTCCATGCTGTGATGACCACCCAGGGTGGTGGCATCCTGGGATGACATTGTTCAAGAGTGTGCCTGCTATTGCTGCAAGTGACAATCTCATGGCCCCCAGTGATGATGGGGGAACGGTGTTAATTATGCAACAGAAAAGCTGTCTAGTTCCGGCCAGGATTTCCAAACAGTTACAGGAAAGCCTCTCTGAGTCCCAGAACTGCCTCTAAATGTAACCATTATAGAAATTCTCACCTCGTGGTTCTCATGCAGCAGGCTCAACACCCAGGAGTACAGCTTTATGAGTATGCTGAAAGTCTTCTCCCAAAGCACCAGGTGGCCACAGGTAACGTGTCCCCCACCCTGGCCACCCCTGTGCAGGCTGCTTACCCACATGCACCTGCTCTGTAGAGACCTCACCCACTCTGTAACAGCCTCAATGGTTTGGATGCTGGTTCAAAAACGACTAATATCTACCCTTTCACAGATTAATTACGGGGAACTCCTGAGAGGGTTGAATTGGGGGGGGGCTGGGCTAGCAAAGAGAGGCCCCACCCCGTCCCACTAAGATAGTGGCTGTGGAGGTATCTTCAAGGTTCTCCCTGCTGATTTTCCCCCGATTTTTCCAGTGGCCTGAGCCATATATTGTTTTCAGCTGAGGAAACCCTAGGTTCTGAGCCCCTCCCCTGACATCTTTCACCCCAGTGGTATCAGACACAGATCAGCGGCCAAGTAACTCTTAGTGCAAAGCCACACACACACACACACACACACACACACACACACACACACGGTCCAGTGCTGACATGAACATCACTTCAGGACTGCTATTCACAATCTGTGTCCTGAGCGTGTGGCTGGGCACCTTGTGGAGAAGGCTCTCTCCTATCCATACTCACGGTCAAGACCGTGTTAGACCTGGGAGGAATGGATGTGCTTCTCTCCCCGACAACCACAGCTGCTGAAATCTTCACATGGTCCCCTCCCTGATGCCTCAGAGGCACACCTGCTAAGTGTTGGTTTCTGGCCCTTCCTGTGCTGACGGTTTCCTAGGATGTATCTGTGACTGCGAATAAGCCTCATGCTGAAGATGCCTTCCTGAGTCCAGACTCCTGGGGCTGCTCATCTCCTTTGCAACTAACACTGTGGTGTCCACGCTGCCTTGAGGGCTTCTCCAGTGACCTAGCTCAGGCCCTGGGCGAGCAACCACCACCATCTGGCTGGCTGGAGCACCATGGAACACAGGGTGGCTGATGTATACAAGAGGGGCTAGCAACCTGCATGTGAGCTGACCGTATCCCCCAACAGCCACAATTTCTGTTTACCTCTGCTGCTCTGGCATTAACTGATCATGACTAGCACCTTGCTTGCTCCAATAAAGATCTCTCTTCTGCCTCAGGAATCTTTAGTTGGCTTTGCTGTGTGCCAGGTGGGCAGATCCAGGTTCCCAGGGATGTCTAGCTCTCAACTCTGGTATCTCAAGGGTAGCAGGGTGCAGTTAGCTTTAAGGAGAAGAGAGTGAGTGTGTCTTTAGAAGCCAAACTGCAAGGGTGCATCATGCCTGCCTTTGCAGCAAGCAAGTAAGCCCCTGTGGCCAGGACATGCTCTGTAAGAGCTTACTCCCTGCTTTAAACACCCCCTCCAGCAGGCATTGTGTCATAGTGGGTAAAGCCGGCATTGTGAGGTAGTGGGTAAAGCCGGTATTGTGTCGTAGTGGGTGAAGCTGCTGTACGCAGAGCTGGCATCTCATATAGGCACTGGATTGTGTCATGGCTGCTTCACTTCCCATCTAGCTCCCTGCTAATGCACCTAGGAAAGCAGCAAAAGATGGCCTAAATGCTTGGGCCCCTGCACCCACATGGGAGGCACCAAGGCAGCTCTTGGCTTCTGGCTTCTGGTTTCAGCCTGGCCCAGACCCTGCCTTTGCAACCACTTGAGAAATGAAGCAATGGATGGGAGATCTCTTTTGTTCTCCCTTTCTCCATAACTCTGCCAAAATAAACATTTAAAAGAATAAATAAATAACTCTCTATCCACTGGGTAGTATCCCTTTATTGGAAGAAGCTCGCAGCAAGCTCACAATGGAAGCTCACAGTTGGTCACAAAGGGGTGCCAGCGCCAGCCCTGCCTTTGCATTCGCTCTTTAGGCCAATGCTCAGTCCCAAGGAACACCCTGCAGACACTCACTCACCTCGTTTGAAGATCTCGTAGCGGATGGAGAAGCCTGCACCATGCGTCTCGTAGTCAGACACAAACCGGACGAAGAGGGTGGGCCCCGAGGACACGACAGGGGAAGGGGCAATCTTCCCGCAGAACTTGCCCCATGGCCGTCCATGCTCACTGTCCCCATCAATAACCTCCACGTAGTCATACCTGGCATAGAGACACAGGAAGCAGTGTTAGTCTGGTAAGAGTGCCAGAGACTGAGAAACCAGGCTCAACCAGGGCAGTCTGTCCTCAATTGCCACTGCTTTACCTGGCAGGAAGAAACCTTGAGCCGGAAGGGGCAAGTGAACTGTGTCACACATCCACATGTCACCTGGCAGCTCAGATCCACAGCAGCAACACGGCCCCTTAAGCCCTGGGGGGAAGCAACTGATGCACACGAGAAAGGAAGCCCCGGGGAAGGACCTTCTGTGATTTGGTCCTGTCCCTCTGTCCATGTTTGTGCACACAAAGGCACAAAGGCCTACCTGGAACCCCAGCGTCTCCATTAGCTGGAGCCCTCTACAAATAATACATGGGTGACCTTCCACACCTACAGCCAGGGAACACCAATCAGGCCCTGCACTGTTTTCCCAAAGAACACCCCGCAGGGCAGACCCCAGCTGTCTCCTCTCCAATCACCTCTCTTTTCACAGCATTGGCTCAGAATTTACTTCAAAAAGGAGCATGACTTGCTCTATGTTCATGCATCCCCCTACTTAAAGATGACATTTTGCTCAAGCAGGAAATAAGCACAGCAGCATGGTGTCTGGGAAAGCAGTGGAGGTTGGCCTAAGTTACAGGAGGAAGCTCCTGGCTTTGGTCTGGCCCACCTCCAGCCATTGCGTCCATCTGGGGAGTGAACCAGTGATGGAAGATCTCTGTTTCTCCCCACCCACCCATAAATAAATACGTCTTTAAAAAAGAAAAAGAACTCAGGGTTAATGACATCGTATGAAGGAGACAAATGGGAAAGTGGGCGACGATGTGACCCAGCTGGGAAGGCGACGGCAGAAGTGCAGGGCCAGCGGCATGAGCAGCAGGTGGGGTCCTAGTGCAGAGCCTCTGTGTGCCCAGAGGAAGGGGCTCTAGTTCACCTGGCCCATGCCTTGTTGCCCTCTCTTCTTCTGACTTCCTCTCCCTACAGCCAGACCCTGCTCGGTCTCAGGCTTCCCACCTGGGGCCCCATGTGACAGTGCTAACAGTAAGCGATAATGGAGATCTCAGATATCCTGGAGATGGCCCAAGAATGGCTCATGCAAGGTTCTAGCAACTTCAGACACCAGAGTCCAGGCAGCCCTCACCATGCCCAGTGGCATCTTCAGCAGCTGTCATGATCCACCCATGGGGCTCACATAGGACGCTCCCTGTGGTACCTCAGGGTAATTCTGCTGGTCACAGCGCATATGCCAGGCTCTCCAAGTGAAAGATGACCCACCTTATCAATCAAGGCCATGTGTACGCCCCTGGGTCCACCCAGAAGAGACAGTGAGGTGGACACTACTGGGGTATAAGCATAGACTCATGTGAGCTCCTGTTCCCGCTGGGACTGCCTGCTGTGGCTGATGCTGTCATGACAATGGCCTGGCCTGTGGAGATGCCACAGTCTCCTGACAAAGCTCTAGAACCATTCAGAGGGACTGTGCAGCTTCTTGAGCCTGGGGGAGGAGGAGGGGCAGACGGGAGAGGAGGCGGTGGAAGTGAAGTTGCAGCCCATCAGTGTCAGCAGTCCCCTGCAATGCCAGGTTCAATGTGAGCGCTGGTTGAGTCCTGGCTGCTCTACTTCTGATCCAACTCCCTGCTAAGGCAGCTGGGGAAGCAGCAGAAGATGGGCCCAAGTGCTTGGGCTTCTGCTACCTACGTGGGAGACCAGTCCTGACCATGGCATTCATTTGGGGGGTGAATCAGCAAATGAAAGATCTCTCTCCCTCCTTCTCTGCATCACTCTGCCTTTCAGAGAAATTGACAAAGACATATTTCTTAGAAAATACAAAGGAGAAGAAAGAGAAGATCAGGAGGTACAGGGAGAGGAAAGAAGAGGGAGGAGGAGGAAGAGGGGGAAAAGGAGAAAGATGAAGAGATGAAGAGGGAAAAGATCAGCAGAAGGAGGAAGGAAAAAGAAAGGAGGGGGAATGAAGGGGAAAACAAGGAGGGCAAGGATTGCATCCGAACTGTGCCCAGCGCTGCAACGCTGGCTTTTTACTTCAACCTGGCCATGCGCTGAACGCTAAGAGGCCAAAGCCGAATGGGGGTCACCTCCTATGCACATTTGGGGTGGGGGCTGGTCTTCCTGAGAGACCCAGGGCCAGTTTGCAAGGACAGCATCCTCCCAGGTATTGGAGGACCATCCACTTCAGTGCCAGGAGTGGCGGGGAAAGCAGCTGGTGCTGAGCTCACACACCCTCTGTAGTAAGGATCTCTCAGCTTGGCAGTGGTAGAAGCTATTTTTAGTGGCGTGCAATGGGGACTGGGAATCCTCTCCTCAAGTGCCAGCTTCAGGACCCTGGACCACTGAGGCAGACAGGAGTGCCACTGTTGCCACTGTCCTCCCCCAGCAGCTCTGAGGGGGCATGTGGCCCAAAAGGGTGCAGCTGACACCTCCCTCTGCAGTCAACATTGACTCCCCTCCATAAGCATCTCTCCCTGGTACACATGGTGCTGGGAATGCAGTCGGCATGCCAGTGGCCCCTTCCTAGAGGAGGAGTGTGTGGCCCAGCAACACAGCCAGCCCAGGAAAGTCTATGCATTTCCAAGGGCAGCCAGCTCTGCAGAATGTCAGGATCCCCAGCTTCCAGGGCAGCACCTCTCCCAGGTGAGGATGAAGGCACCTGTTAAGAGTCTCCCTGGGGACAGCTTTGCCCCAGCAGCAGGAGGAGAGTTTGTGTGGTATCCAAGGACTCATGGGGTCAAGAAGTGTAGTCCCTGCTCCAACAGGAGAAGGGTCCACGCCAGAACCCAACAGGGACCAGGCCTGTCTGGATGCTGTGCCTCTTTCATGCTTGCTCCCTGCATGACTCCCAGTATGTAAACAGCCTGTGTTAGGATAACAGCTTTCCCCAGATCCAGCCGGGGCAGAGCGGGTGGATGCTTACTCCTCACTGAGCAGGCCTGCACAGGTCCACTTTCCCTGGTACCCTCCTACAGTTTGGGATTCAGGATGGGGTGTGAAGCAGGGAACCCCGAGCTGTGGGCACATGACACGTGGGGGCACCCAACATCTACTCTTCACTGTGGACTCTGTTCCTGAAGGAGTCTCAGAGGGAGGAGGAACTGAGAACAGAAAAAGGAACCAGGAACCTGGCAGCCTAATCCATGTACCAAATTACAGCACTGTGTCCCACAAAAACAGGCAACCTTTAAGGCTAGCCAAGCTCTAATAACAAAATGACCGGCAAGGGACCAAGTGGCTGGTTTGAGGTTATGCAAATTTCTCCAGCGTAGCATCTGCTTGGCCATCTTCCCATGCCCACCCACGCACCCCACACCAGGGAAGGAGCAGAGATTTGTGCCCCACTGGAAACCACAAGCTGAGCTTCCTGTAAGAACAATGAAGCAACCAAGATTTCCTTCTAAGAATTCTGGAAAGGACTGCCCAAAGATATTTTTTTTTTTCCTTTAGTAAAGTTTGAACTGTAGTACTAGGAAAATTGCCCGGTCCAGGGGTAGAGAGATGGGAAAATAAGAAATGGACTCAGTCACCTGAGAGCATCCTTGGATGCTGTAGGTACATACTGCCAAGTCAAGGGGCTGCTCTGGGCTCAGCCGGAGACCCCAAAAGTGACAGAAAGCTTACCCCACAAGGAGCACTGCCAGACCCCCCCCCCAAGCCCCTCCTCTACGTTCTGCAAATCCCCCTCACCAGCTAAGGGATCCCAGGAGTAGCATTGTTCATCTTCCAAGAGGCTCTGCCCTCACAAGCAGGATTATAATGGTGAAATGTGATATCCAGCACCATAAACCAGAGGGGGAGACGACAGCGGCAGCTAATGTAACTTTGACCTGTGCAAACATGTTCTGTGGCGCTCACAGGTGTTAACAGGATTCCCAGCTGAGCGGCCCCAGTGGCTGCCCTGCTGCTGTGCTGGAAATGCCTTACATCACCCTCTCTCCCAAGGGAGCAGATTTTCTCCAGGAGCCGTAGGAGGCGACACTGGCTGAAACCCTCACTCGCCTCACCCACCGCGTGGGCTGGCAGGGTTCTGATGAACACTCTTGATGAGGCTTCCTGTGGCCCCAGCCTCCCACTAAGACAAAGCAACCTTCCAAAAACCTACTGCACGGAAGTGATCTGTTGCAATGTCAAATATGCAAGTGCATAGCACAGGACACTGGTTAACTATGAAACAGCATGTGCAACGAAAGATTTCTTTAAAATAGATAGAAAAATGTTTATGAAAAACCAAGTGAAAAGCAGAACAAACTCTCTCCAGTCCATTTCCGATCCTTATTACACCTATAGTCAAAAAACTAGGAGGCAGTCAGCAGGGCTGCAAGGCCAGGGCAAAGTCACCACGTCACAATGTAGCGCACTGCTATCTTTTTTTCTTGCACCAATTTTACATTTCTATTATGTTTTAGTTGAAAGTAAATCAGGGTTGGTGTCAGCATCCCATGTGGACAGTGGTTCATGTCCCAGCTGCTCCACTTCCCGTCCTTCTCCCTGCTCATAACCTGGGAAGGCAGCAGAGGAGGGCCCAAGTCCTTGGGACCCTTCATCCACACGGGAGACCCAGAAGAAGCTCCTGGATCCTGGTTTTGGTTTGGCTAATCTCTGAAGTGCATATCTGGGGAATGAACCAGTGGTTGGAAGATTTCACTCTGTCTCTCCTTCTCTTGACATCAAAGCTTTTGCCTGGCACCAGCAAGGGAGGAGCCCAGAGAGCTCTCTCCTAAGTGACTTCATCCTTGTGGGCCACACAGAGCTGATCAGTGGCAGCAGGAGCCCTCTACCTGCAGCCACTGATGGAGAGTTGGCCAGGTCCATGACCAGGCCCAGGAAGGGCAGGAGAACAGCAATGGTAGAGGAACCAGAACTTGAATGGTCTTGAATGTGCATGGCTGTGGGCGTGAGAATCCACCGGGGAAGAATGCTGGGTTGCAGGTTGAACCAAACCAGAACTTCTCAGGATGTCCCACACTCTACACGTCTACAAACCCAAGTATGGTAT